AATCTTCTGGCTTTAGAGACATTCTCTCTAACTTCTCTCTACTTTTCTTAAGAACTAAATTTATGAGGTTCACTTCTTAAGAAAATTTTTTACATACTCTTACTTAAGTTGACTCAATTAACTCTAACATTATTTCTAAGACAACTTAACTTTCAAGAGTCCCTTGACCCCTAAAACTAAAACAATGATTGTTACTATTAAATGAACAATTAATCATATAATTTATCAAACAAGCCAAAATCACATAGTGTTAGATGGAACCACTCCAAATCAAAACAAACCACATTTATTTATAAATACATTTCTTTTCAAAATGCATAATTAATGTTACCAAATTGATACATAACATTAAGGATATTTTATAAAATTATAAACTACTAAAAGATATTTTTCTCTATACATATATATTATATTATTTAAAAAAAATTATAAAACTGTAAGTTATTAAATTAAATGTTAAAATAAAAAATTATAAATTATTTATAATGTTTGACAATAATTTATACTTTATTCAGACTGAATCACACTTAATTATCTTTATTTGATTCAAATGATTTTTAAAGACAAAAGCAATCCACATTATAAATATCCTTAACAAAATATGTACAATTATGATATTTGTCCCGTCTGATTTCCAAGCAAGTAAAAATAATTCGTTGAGTTTTTGTACTTACTTATTATCTATGTTATCTATGGCAGGTTTAATCTGATGATACTTGTGTGTTTAAATTTTTTATTTTTTTTTGCCATCCTATTTCCTTGAAATAAAAACAAGCTTACCAAAAGTGAACCTGATCAATGAAGAGAAAAGTGAAAATAGATATATAAAGAATTAAATTCTGATTTTCAATGTTATAATCATTCATTTATTCTAATAAAATAAATATAAGCATACAAAATTAAACATATGCATCAATTCATTTTAATCTATTATCATGAGATTTTAATTGATTATATTACACAAATGTCGCAATCGATCAAAAAGCACTATGGAAAGCCACTTTTGCTCTTGTAGGTTCTATTTAATTGATCATACATTCATTGCAATTGATTAAATTAAATACACAACGATAATGCATTGTACAATGCTATATCACATAAAGATAATACTATTTTAATTTTTTTTCTTTTTAAACCAAATAACTTTATAATAGTAATTTTCTTAAATGAAAGAACTCAAAAATTCATCTTATTATATATATTATTTTTCTCTATCGTTCTCTTATTTTTTTTATTATCCACTTACCTAATGGAGCGTGGCTGATAGGGACGAGGAGTGTGATGTGTTTCTCTTTGCTTACGGATATACAATTATGTGAGTCCCCCACTAAGTCATGATGATCATCTTTTGTGACATTTTGTCTTTTGAAGTTTCAATGTTCGTTTTTACAATCATTTATGCGTTACAACTGTCGCAAGCTGTGCCAAATCAAATGTGAAACAAACATAGGTTCTATTTTATTTTATTATCATTTTTTCAATGTTTTATTATTGGATCCTTGAATGCACCATTTTTCTTATTAAAAGGAACACAATAATTGTTATGAGATTGAATTTCGTTTTGGCTGTTTTAATTTAAATTGTGGGTGACTTTGGCTTTGTAAGTTTGCTTAAATCAATTAAATTTCTCCAGTTTTAAATTAAGTAAAATTGATATCATTTATATTTGTTTTCCCTAAAATGTTAAAATTAATTTTTATTTAAATATTTGGAATTTTATGATGAATTTGAATTATGAAATACTTTTAAAGGTTAAGTCAGGGATTTAGTGAAATTTTTACCAATTTTTTTTGTTAGATTTTGTAGAATGTAAAATGAGGATTCCAAAAGGGAAATTTTTGAATTTTTTTATTTGAGGAAAAGTTTAATGTTTTGATTGGTGAATTTTGATTAAAAGGAGGTTAGAATTATTTAATTGACTTAATAAGTGAAAATTTTGAATTAAAAAAAATTAAAGTTACCCGTAGCAGAAATTTTTGATAGGACCAAGTTTATATAATACTAGTACTTTAGCACATATTGCAAATGCATTATTATATAATTAAAATTTATAATAAA